AGACAACTCCAGCGCAATTCGAAGAGCATTGCTTAGGCAGTCAAGAGGTCGTGAACACGACTGGAAATGCGGAGAGCTGTGCGTGATTTGGGATCGTCGCAAAGCTCCGAACATGCTAGAGAAAGGTCGATGGGTAGGACCCTGTCAAGTCATCATGAACGAGTCACGCACAATCATTTGGGTAACTCACCTAAATCGACTTCTTCGAGTAGCAAGGGAAAATATGAGATCGGTATCACTGAGGGAGTTTCAGAACCATCATGGATTCAGCCAAACCGATAGTCAACAGAAACTCCAAGCCATGGCAAATCGCTTGAAAGAACAGCTGAAAGAAAGGAGCGGTATGTTTCAGTTTTCAGATCTAACGGATCAAGCCGATGATCGACCAATCGAGCCAGCCGAAGCAGAGGAACCGCGAGCAGGCCAGCCAGAAGAAGAGCCAGTTCGTAGGAACTCATGCACAGGTTCCCAAATTGAGCAGCCGCCTGGACTAGATGCCAGCCTCATCCCAGTGATTGACCCCACAGCCGATGAGGAACTCAGAGAAGACTATACACCAACCGAAAATCCTGAAGGGGTTGAACCGACACTTGAATCAGTAGGGGATTCGACAGTGTACAATGCATTGATAGTTGAAGGGGTTAATTCAGGGGAAGCAATCATCGAGGATAGGGGTACTCTATGGAGTAATGAATCCACCGATGAAGCACAAGCTCAAATGTGTAAATTTGAGGTCATAGTTCCGATGAAAAGATTGGAAAAATTTTGTAAATGTCCCAGCTTTCATGCAGAAGCGTTGAATAAAGCAGTAAAGAAAACCCACACCGAAGTCCAATACAGGAACCTCACGGAAGCCGAAAAGAAGCAGTTCGACCAGGCTAAGAGGAAGGAATTGAATTGCTGGATTGAGACGCAAACAGTGGAACCTTTGCTTAGAAGCCGGATTCATCCCAGCCGTATCATGTCTTCAAAATGGGTTTTGACTTGGAAAGAAGACTTGACATCACCAACTGGGCGAAAGCCCAAGGCCAGGTTAGTAATTCGAGGATTCCAAGATCCCGAAGTAGGGATAGTCTCTACAGAAAGTCCCACACTTTCCCGAGATGGTAGGATGATGATATTACAGACAGTGAGTTCATTACATTGGCAGGTTCAATCATTTGACATCAAAACTGCCTTTTTGAGGGGCAAGTCGGATGATAGAGAACTAGCTATGCAACCAGTCCAGGAATTCAAAGAATTGTTGCAACTGTCTAATGAACATGTGCTTCTACTACGAGGAAATGCATATGGAAGAGTGGATGCTCCACTACTCTTCTACAAGGAATTCCGTCGCAGGCTGGAAGCAGAGGGTTTCGAAGCACACCCATTAGATAATTGCATTTTTCTTTTGAGAGACCGTGAAGATCCAAGCAAATTAGATGGAATCCTAGGAACTCATGTAGATGACGGGATTGGAGGGGGCAATCAGCGATTCGAGCAGGCATTAGCCAGGGTAGAAAAACATCTGCCTTTCGGAAACCGAGAGTACACCAAATTCAAGTTCACTGGACTCACCATTGAGCAGAGAGCCGACTTTTCGATAAAGATTGATCAAGAAGATTATATGCATCAAATTGAACAAATTGATGTTCCAAAGATTCGACGAAAAGACCCAGAGGCAGAGGTAACCCAAGCAGAATTACATCAGCTTCGAGCCCTGTGTGGAAGCATGCAATATGCAGCGGTGCATTCACGTCCGGACATGATGGCAAAAGTGGCATTTATACAAAAGAAGATATGCAGAGCAAAAGTTCAAGATCTTCTAGAAGGAAATAAGATACTAAGAGAAGCAAAGGAAACAGCCAACACAGCAATCTTAGTTCAACCCATCAAAATGAACCAGCTAACATTTGCCAGCTTCGGAGATGCAAGCTTTGCATCGGAATCACAGCTAAGGGCACAGCAAGGTGTGTTCATTGCAGCATGCACGAAGGATCTTGGAGAAAACCAAATCTCGGATATATCACCTTTAGCTTGGCATTCAAAACAGATTAGTAGGGTAGTCAGACCCACCTTAAGTGCCGAGGCTTATGCAATGTCCTCATCACTGGACAAGCTCACGTGGTTGCGATGCATGTGGGCATATATTAAAGATGGAAGATTCCAATGGCAAAAGCCTGAAATTTCGCTACGAGGTGAACCGAAGGCTCTCCTAATCACAGATTGCAAAAGCTTATATGATTTGGTGAATAAGATGGCAACCCCGAATTGTCAAGAATGGAGAACCACGATTGAAGTCATGTTGATCAAACAACAATCTTCGGAAACAACGGAATGCCGATGGATATCGACAGCAATAATGTTGGCGGACTGTTTAACGAAGCCAATGGATGCAGCATTTCTTCGTAAGGTTCTTATGCTTGGAAAGTTTCGAATCTATGATGATGATAGCAGTCTAAAGAGCAGTCCGAATCGAAAGTTCAGCACACGATGGATTGAGTCCTTTGAGGAGTCTCATTCGAAAAGAAAACAGAATGAATGTGAATCGAACACCAGGGAAAGCCTTCGACCGGACACCTTCGAATGAGCAACCATGGATTCACAGACAGCCAACCAATGTGTTTGGCTCAAGGGTTGATGGCAGGACAACGGTAGTGGTGGAAAAGGCGGCGGCCCGCCTATCGTGGGAAGGGTGGGATCCCTTTCTTTAGGTTAGGTAGTTAGGTTAGGAACCTTTGTTTGGGCGAGGAAGCAACCAGTGGCACTGGAAACCAATTCCAGTGACATGTATATATATATATTGTGACTGGATACACTTCTCACGGGTGGTCCAAGCGGACTGAGGTCACAGCTTTCTGCGGCAGGTTGATGACCCAACAAATGCCCACAAAGAGGAGGATGAAGCCCGTCCAGGTGCAGAAAATAGTGAAGCCCCAACCCCAAGCCTGGACTGCAAGCTCGGCTTGAGAAACATGCCCTGAAAGCTATCCAGTGTCAAATTCCAATAGTGTGTTCCAGATTGTTGCCCATCACTTGCATGCAAAGGCTGGCATCGGCAGCAATAGCAGTAGCAAAACTTCCTATCGACAAGACATTGGTTCACTAAGCAATTTCTTTCTATTTCTACTTGGAATGCCCGAAAGGGATATCTTTCTGACAAGGACAATAAATGCGAAGCGTGAAAACATGGGAAAACAGTGATTGGGACTCTTCACTTTCAGCGCAAATTAGTTCGGAAGGTCTTTCGCACAAAAAGTGCAGGACCTACCGAGCCCCCGACCGACAAAGCGCCAGTGCTCGTGTACTGGTTGGCCACCTGCTTGGATGCTTTGCAACATCGCCCCAATCCAGAAATTGTCAAAATCGGATGAATTACACATTGTAGCGGATGTGATCCATGCAGGCAAAACGGGGCACCTCTTAATCGCTTTTGGCAAACCAAAGCTTGTCTACCAGCAGGATTTCTTAGAGACTGGTGACTGGACGGAACCAAACTGACTCTGCCAGGGAGCAAACCAGTTGTCAGCATTTAGCCTCTTAGTGTTTTGAAATACTTTTGGCAACGTGTGTAAGCATCGCTTAGGCTGGGCACAAAGAACCATGTTCCATTTTCTTGGAATCTTGCTAAGCTGGGCACTTGACATCACTTGACCACTTGGTGTTCAAGCAGGTCCGCAAAGCTGCCGTGTTGGCGTCTGAAACCACAGTGTTGGCTTAGTAGCACTTTGTCTAGCTTGTGCAGACCTGAAAGCTCGGGTGACTTGGAAAGGCCTCCAACCTACTAGCGTCCTTGCTCCTAGTAGCGATGCCCTTTGTTCCTAGTAGCTTCTTGTTCCAAATAGTAAGGCCAGGAGCCCCTAGTAGCGTCCTTGCTCCTTGGCGCATGCAAAGTCGTCGCTCATCTTGGAGCACTGGGTGGTGCTTTTCGGTTGCCGGGAGACCATGCGGGGAGACCACGTAAAATATTAGCTACGGGCAGAAGGGCTGTGGTTTTGTGGGCTGCAGGACCATGCAGACATTGGTGACTCTATGTATGGCAGCACGATGCCGGATGTTGATAGGATGCGCGCCAATGATTTGCCGAGCCACAGGCCAGCTAGCTAGCAGCTGGGAGAGCGGTACGTTCCGTTCGGAGTCACTGATACCCATTCAACGTCGAGTTCCTCTAGTCGACCAGTGGATGCTGTCCTTGGGGACTTGGAGCTGGCCACAAACCACAGCGCTGATTTCTTTTTGAGCCCGCACCGCCCGCACCTATTTATATAATTGATACTACCTACTGGACGCAGGATAGCTCACGCTTCTACTCATTTGGTTTCTAGATTCATTTCTAGAAAAGGAGTTGGTTAAGCAGTGAACTCCTGTGTGAGGTCACTGGGTGATTGTCTCCTCGGCGAGCACTCATAGTGTCCTTGCTGAGCTGGGTCGGTACACCTGTTTGGTTGCTCATGTTGTTGTTGTTGTCTTTGGAGTTTGGAGAAAATCCACATCTCCTCCCT